ATCTACTAGCATATTTAGCTACATCTACTAGCATATTTAGCTACATCATTGACTAGGTTCTTCTGAGGTGTATCAGTATCTTCACAGTAATAAGGTCGGTCTTGTTTTGTTAAAAGAGGTGGGACACAATCTTATTGACTTTAAATCAGACACAGAGCAGACAAAGTCTTAAAGTCCTCCATCACTGAGTTTGGGTTCATTACAGAGAAAATCATAAACCTGAAGACGAACAAATACTATGAAGCTGTGACCTCCATACACCTGAAATCAGACCTGATGTTCTCGTCACTGTTTTCAATCCTTCTGAGGATCCAGCGTCTCTTCTCCGGTGGTTTATTGAAGTCCAGACACAAAGTAGGAGGCAGGTTTTCCTCCATCAGCTCTGACTGACAGACTCCACCTGGCAGTAAAGACAAACTCAAATGGTTTTACAATCAGATGTGAATTAAACACTCTGTATGCAGACACACACAGACAGGTCACACAGGTGACTGTCAGTAAACAACAAACAGGACATCAGCTGGTCCTGTAAAAACTAAAAACATTATTATTTTAACATTAACACAGCTCACAATCATTTATCACATCTTTATTAGTCTTACTAATCCACTCTGGTTAACAGACAGACATTTTTATTTGATAAATAGTTCATTAACACATTTAACTGAACAAACAAAAAGCCAGATTTCAGAATATTCTCAAGGATGGTTGTGTTTTATTTTTGTCAGCCCACAGCTATTTCTTTTATTTAGAAACATCCAGGGCGTATCTCTGCTGCTTGTGAGGGGTCACATCAGTTCAGTAACTATAAAACTTATGTGGATGAAAGGACTCTAGACCCCTAAGTAAAGATTATCAGTTCACATGGAGGTGTTCACACCTGTATTTATCTATATCTGAATGCAGTGCATTTGCTCAGGATGGAATTAGCAACAGATCTGAATAGCCTTATAGTTGTCATAAGTTTTACAACTTTTTAACGTGTTTGCGGCGCCTTACCCATCATTGTTTTCCTTCTGCCAGGGAGACTGTGAGGACCATGCTACTCTTCTGTGCAGCCTCCTGCTGGGCTTTGGTCTGGATGCCTATGTGTGTGTGGGCACCAAAGCCAAGGGTGTGCCACATGCCTGGGTCCTGACCAGGGGCACTGATGGGAGCATCACGTTTTGGGAGAGTCTGACGGCACATAGGTTCAACTTAATTTCTTTATTTTATTTAATATTTTATACAGATGTGTGTAACACTCAGTAACCCTGATCTGTTTTTGTATTGGACTAAATCTTGTACAGAATGTATTAAAACTGCTTAAAAAATAAGAATTGTATCAGGAAAACATCTTATTATTTTTATGTTTTTCCTAGAAATGATTCTAAAGTCTAAGATTTATTGTGACTCCTAAAATCAAAATACTGTTTAAGTGTGACAATAGTTTAGTCTCAGAATAATTCACAAATGTGTATGAATTATTTGTATGTACACAACAAGATCCCGACAGCGTACAGTGATTCACAAATCTTCTTTTACATTCGGCTCTTCCTTGTTCCATCTACCTCCATGTCCTCTAACTGCATCCATATATCTGTGTTTCCCCTACCATTATGCAAGCGCGGTGCCCCACCCCGTCAGCAGAACTGAGCACCCCGCCTACCAAACTGAACTTGTCCCCCCCCCCCCCCCCCCACCAACTGGCACTGACTTAGCACTAAGCTAGTGGCGCGAAATACAGGTTCTCTAGCTAAAAAGCTATAGGCAGCGCTCACATCTTCTCTCAAGCTGAACACCCCCCCCCCCCCCCCGCCCCCCCCACACTCAAAAACTGTCTGTATAAACAGCACACAACTCAAATGTGTCGCACTAAGCTAGCAGTGCACAATACAGGTTCTCTAGCTAAAAAGCTAAAGGCACCCCTTCACTCATGCTGAACCCCCCCTCCCCTGGTACAAGCTGCTCTCAGACATGTCTCCGTCCCCCCCGTCAACAAAAATCATGGATGAGATGAGCACCCCGCCATGGCAAATTAACTAGGGGAAACGCTGTATCTCCTCTTTGTATTTTTCCTGGCAGCTGCATTTCTAACATCCTTCTACCAGTATACCCACTGTCCCTCCTGTGGACATGTCCAAACCACTGTCCCTCCTCTGGACATGTCCAAACCACTGTCCCTCCTCTGGACATGTCCAAACCACTGTCCCCCCTCTGGACATGTCCAAACCACTGTCCCTCCTCTGGACATGTCCAAACCATCTCAGTCTGGTCGCTCTGACTTTATCTCCCAGTTGCTCAACCTGTGCTGTACCTCTGATGATCTCATTCCTGATCTTATCCAGCCTTGTCTCTCCTGAGAAGAACCTCAACATCTTCATTTCTGACACTTCCAGTTCTTTATCATGTCTTTTTGTCCATGTCTCTGTCTCCAGACCATACAACATAGCTGATATCACCACTGTCTTGTAAACTTTTCCTTTGATATCTGCTGCCACTCTTGTTACAAATCCATCAAATTCCAGAATTGCGCTGCTCAAGGTGGCTGCATGTTGGAGCAGCTCTGTTACTTTCATTCTGAGATTTTGCTTTTGGAAACTTTAATTCCTGTTTTTCTGGATGTAAATCACATTTTTTGGATGATTGTTTCCTCTGGTATCAGATGCTGTGCAGCTGGAAGGATTTTTACTGAAACTTTTTTAGTTTTGGACATTTGTTATGATGCGTAACCATGGCAACAAGGCAGTTTTCTACAACAACAGCAGCTGATGAACATCTCAAAAGCTCAAATAATATCTTAACCACAGCCACAAATCTCAAATGAGTTGAAAAGGATGTTCTGTGGACGCATTCTCATCAACCTGCCAGCTGTGCTCGAGTGTCTGACCACTGAGATCTTGGAACTAGCAGGAAACACGGCTCATGACAGCGGAAGGACAGGATCGTCCCTCAGCACCTACCAGTTGGCTGTCCGCAGTGACAAGGAGCTCTGCAGACGAGGAGTGACCATCGCTCTGGGAGGAGTTCTGCCCAGCATTCGGGCGGTCCTACAGCCCGAGGGAACCGAGAGGACAGCCGAGTCTGGGCGTACTGATCGGATAGCATCTGCAGCCAGTTTCTTAGGATCCACTGTGGGATGGACCTTTACAAGAGATCCTTCCTGTCTACAGCCATCAGTATCTATAACATCTCTTAATGAAATGAGGATAACGAGTTACAACAACAAATAATTTCCCTTTGTGATTAATAAAGTATTTTTGAATTGAATTGAATTGAATCCTGCCTGGACTCTTCTTCACCTCTTTACCACACTCTCCATTTTCCTGGACAGTGGACCCCAAGTACTTGAAGTCCTGCACCTTTGTGACCTCTGCTCCTTGTATCCTCACTGTTCCACCTCCTCCCTCTCATTCACACACATGTACTCTGTCTTCTGCTGACATTCCTCCTCTTTCAAGTGCATACCTCCACCTCTCCATGTTCTCTTCCACCTGTACGATATTCTCACCACAGATCACCATGCCATCTGTAAACATCATAGTCCACAGAGATTCCTGCTGAACGTTGTTGGTCCATCACCAGAGTAAACAAAAAGGGGCTCAGAGGCAGTCCTTGATGTACTCCCACCTTTACCTTGTTGCAGTTACAGCAATTCACAAATGCACAAGTGTTTCTGTACAGATCCACTTGTCCATGTACCGTATGTGATTTTTGTGACTTTGGTCATGCACCAGACTGACCTTTTTTACAGTTAACAATGTGCATGTGTAAAATCAGGCACCATGACCCCAGATAGGTTCCTAGTTATTTCCAGTCGACATTAGTCTCTTTAGTTTTGGTTCTTTACACCTGCTTTTTTTATTGACTGTTGTTTACAGCTGTATTTATAAATTAGTTTTATTGGTATTGTACGTTGGGATAGCAACATGCAATGTTCCTGGGTGTTAGAATGACCAGAGCACAGCTAAAACATATGTAGATATGAACACTGTATAGACCAAGTGTATTTCAACAAACCAGAAGTAAGCATATCTAGACCCCAAAGCACTGTAAAATGCTGACTTGGTACATGCACATTAATAACTTTAAAAAGGTCAATTCACAAAGGTAATGCTGCGTTCAAGGTTGGTTAAAGCAGGGACATTTGGTCCTTACCAGATTTACTGCAGTTTGTGGAACAACGTATGTCTGACTCTGCACAATAGCTCTTCACCTTTATTGTAGACCACATTTGGTTACATCAATGTTATTGGATACCCAAAAAGTTAATTTAATAGAATGTACAGCTGAAGTAAACTACCCAATATGGGTACATTATTCTTCTCCTAAAGAAAAAAAAATACTGTAAAAGTATGGAGGTAAACTACTTTTATAAAGAATTGTTTTAATCAGATGTTTTTGCTTTTCACCAGCCTTACATTTGTGAATCTGGAGTGAGAAGAAAGTCTTTAAAGTCACGTGCACAGGCATGCTGATCCGTGCGCTCGTGTTGACTCATCCACAGCAGGGCCACAGAACAAATTTACAAAAGGGCTCTTATATATTTGCATCCAGCTTGCTGTGTGTGTGTATTTAAATATAGCATGTTTTTGTTGGGTCTGATTTTGATCCATTTTCAATATGTGTGATCAGATATCTGCACCAGGCCATTGATCCAGATGCCCCTCCTCTCACCACTCAGCCCAAACCCTCGTCTCCTTACCGCACCGTGGGCTGCGTCTTCAACCATCAGAGCTTCCTGGCAAACTGCCAGCCCTCGGATGCTGTGGAGCTCTGTGTTTTTGACTTCCAGGTAGGCAAATGTACCCTAAACACCCAAGGACTTGGACTCTTGTCACGTCGATTGAATTCATTTAACTTCAATTTTATGTGCCATACTGAGTTTTTCACTCACAATTTTTCCATTTTGTTTTTGTTTAATGAATATTGACATGGTGGAATGAATCAGTTGTGTGTTTTTATACACTTGAGGTTAGATTTTTAGAACCTGATATAGATTGGATCATTTTTAGTGTGTCTTGAGATATTAAATCTTGGACTTGAAAGAGGGTGGACTTTCTTTTCCCCACGACTGCCATAATTTTAAACTCTAATATTTAACATTATAGATAGGTGATTCACAGTAAAGTCACAACAAAAGCTTCTTTATTTAACTTTACTTAAGCATAATAATATAAAACCTTTGATGTGGATAGGAACACTGTCAGGATTCCCGTGACTCTGGAAATCAGGCAAAACGTGGAAAATTACTTTAATATTTTCCAGACACACGGGGAATTTGAACACTGACAGAAGAACACTGACTGAAAGAAGTTTTTGAGGTTTTGATGTGTACATGTATTAACATTTACATACATATAATATATAATCTAGTATCATTGAGTCTGTGTCCTGATTCTACAGTGTACATGGTCCTTACTGATTGGCTATGGTGGCTTTTTAAAACTGTCTTATACATTACAGTAGTTCCTCGTTTATCACGGGGGATGCGTACCCTGAAGCCCCGCAATAAGTGAACAACTGCAAAGTAGGAATATTAGTACAAGTAGTAAGTAGTAGTTTATTTTCCTAAGTTTATTTAAGCTGTCTAAAGGTTGAATTTTTATATGAGTGAACAAAAATATTTATTTAAAGTTTTATCAGGAGGAGAAGGTCAGCTGTGACTCTGAAGAACTCGGTCACAGGTGGAGAAGCCGAAGCTGCGATGATGTCAGAGGGAAAGGAAGTTTGGATGGATCACAGGGTACATGAGCGTAACCTGTAAGGTCCGACAAACGCTCTCTTCAGAATGTGGAGCTTAGTTCTGAGAGCTCAGCTCCTAGAGTCTGGGGTCTGAGCGTGTGGTCAACAGTACAGGTGTGGGTCATTCACATAGAGGCAGGAAAGCACAACTTATCCAAGGGGTTTAGCTGGAATCAGTGGTCTGAAGGCAGAGCAGAAGTCGAGGTCCAGATATCCGATGGGCAGAAGAATCCATCTTGGGGAGGCAAAGGGAAGGAATCCGTGTAATGAAGTGGGTCAGGAACAGAGTAGAAACAAAACCTCTGGATTACTTCAAGTACGAGGCAATCAGACAATCTGGCATAGACTGGGGAGCACTTAAAGTGTGCAGTGCACAAAAGAAAAAAAAAAAATCTTGGCGCACAGATGCTAAATCATTTAAAATAAATGATTTTAAATGATTTAGCACCTGCTGCAGCAGGAGTGGGTGGACTGGCCACTGGGAGCACCGGGACATTTCTCGGTAGCCTGGCCTGCTCGCCGAAGGAGACTAAAGAGTCGGTTCAGGTCGCGCGTGATTGTTTTAAATGAACAATCCATGCTGCTCATGTGGCATGGATTGTTTATTTAAACTATTACAATATTTAAATTTAAATTGTTTATTTACACAGAAGGACGGAGATTGGGAGCGACACAAGTTATGAGCACGAGTGTGATTGCACTGGGAAAGTGGGCGTGGCTAAGAGCGCTGGCAGGTGGCCAAGAGCAGAGATCATAATATGCTGTGCTTTTTTAGAGCGTTTAGAGTTTAAAACATTGTTTAGAACATTGCAAGAGTGTGGGGTTTAAAATGCCTTTATATATACATAAATACCATTTCACCACGCCGCCCAGGAGAAATGCAGCTGATTTGACCGTTAAAGTGCATTTATTAAGGAAAAGTTAAACTGAGACACACCTTTACTATAATGTCGAGCAAACAAAAAATTGTTTTTAAGTGTTAATCTAGTTGAATTCTTGTTAAAGTCCTCCTATGCACGCTCCCATAGCCGCCATTTGGCAGCCAATCAATTTTTAGCACAACACCAGTCCACATTTCCGGGTCGTCAGTGGTGACACGTAACAAACGCAACATGTCAGCAGTGACACATAATAAATGCGACTAATAAGGCGAAGCGACATATTTATGGATTTTTCCAGTTTATTAGACATATTTGGACTGATGCGAATTATAGGGCGGTAAATGGTAAATGGACTGTACTTATATAGCGCCTTTCTATCTGATCAAGATACTCAAAGTGCTTTACACAACAATCTGTGTCCTCATTTACCCGTTCATACAGCACTCTACTAGATCTACAAAACAACAAGTCATTCTAAAGAGACTAATCTGTGCTTTATCACATTCATACACTGATGGGACACACATCAGAGGCAATGAGGGGTTCAGTGTCTTGCCCATGGACACTTCAGCATGTGACTGCTGGTGGATTTGAACCCCCAACTCTTGCACTGGAGGACGGCTGCTCTAACCACTCAGCCACAGCCGCCCGGTGCAACGTCTACGGCGGCAAGTGTGGTACTAAAATTATTATAACATCCGTACTTCGCGGTTTTTCACTTACTCACTCACTGTCCGGAACGTAAACCCCGCAATAAACGAGGGACTACTGTATACAGTTAGGGTTTGTAACAACTGGGTGATTCATTGTTTCAACTTTTTTGTTTGTTAACAAAAATACATAAAAAGAGGGTACCATTAAACTGTAATAAACTTTTTAGTAATTGTTTACGCAAATAGTCTAAAAAAGGTAGTCTGTTAAAAAAATGTTTAGGAAGTATTTAATCAAATGTTCTTATGTAACAAGCTCCCTGTTACTTGGCTCAGCCAGGAAATGGGAGGTTAATAATTCCATCCATCCATCTATCATATTAACTTGCTTTTTTCCCTTTTTGGGTCGCTGGGGTCACTGGTGCCAAGCCAAAGTCCAGCCATTCACTGTTCGAGAGTTAGTTGGAGAGATCATAACTCTCCAGTTTTAGCTTCTCTCCAATGGCTCCCTGTCAAATCCAGAATAGCATTCAAAATCTTACTTCTAACCTACAAAAGCTCTCAACAACCTAGCTCCATCTTATGCTAAAGATCTTATTGTTCCATATTTTCCTAACAGAGCACTTCGCTCTCAGACTGCAGGTATATTTGTGGTTCCTAGAATTTCCAAAAGCAGAATATGAGGCAGATCTTTCAGTTATCCGGGTCCTCTCTTGTGGAACCAACTTCTATTCTCCGTCTGTGAGGCTGACACATTATCCAGTTTTAAGACTGGGCTTAAGACTTTCCTTTTTGATTAATCCTATAGTTAAGACTCTGGCAGCAGAATTTTGGATCAACTGAAGACTCTTTAAAGAAGTATTTGGAGACTGAAAAATGTATTCCTAAAATGCTTGGGTCCAAAAACCACAACCTCAGTCTTGTCTGTGTTCAAAAGCAGAAAATTAAGGGTCATCCAGGTTTTTATGTCTTTAAGACATGCTTGTAGTCTAAGTAACTGATTGGATTCATCGTGTTTCATGGACAAATATAATTGTGTCATCATCATAACAATGAAAATTTATCCCATGCTGTTTAATAACATTACCTAATGAAAGCATATATAAAGGAAAGGGTATTGGTCCAAGCACTGAACCCTGAGGAACTCCATGACTAATGTTGGTGTATGAAGAAGATTTATTATTTACATTTACAAACTGGAATCTATCAGATTGATATGATTTAAACCATTTTATAGCCGTTCCTGTAATCCCAATATCATATTCAAGTCTCTGTAGTAAAATATTGTGATGAACTGTATCAAATGCAGCACTGAGGTCTAACAGGACCAGTAGAGACACAAGTCCATTGTCTGAGGCCATGAGAATATCATTAGTGACTTTTACTAGTGCTGTTTCTGTGCTATGATGAGCTCTAAACCCTGACTGAAAGTCTTCAAACAGATTATTTCTTTGTAGATGTTCACACAACTGACCTGCAACTAGTTTCTATAGAATTTTTGAGTTGAACGTTAGATTAGATATAGGTCTATAGTTGGCCAGAATTTCTGAGTCAAGGTTATGTTTCTTAAGTAAAGGTTTAAGTGGTGGAAGTGGTCTCCAGCTACAAGTACTTCAGTGTGCACCTGAACAACAACCTCAGCTGGGTCAACAACACCACCAGCCTGATCAAGAAAGCTCATCAGAGACTCTACTTCCTCAGGCGGCTGAGATGAGCTGGTCTGGGAAGCTCAGTCCTCACCTCCTTCTACAGGTGTGCAGTGGAGAGCATCCTGTGCTCCAGCATCAACGTGTGGCATGGAGGCTGCACAGCTGCAGAAAGGAAAGCTTTGCAGAGAGTGGTGAAGGCTGCACAGAAGACTGTTGGAGTCAGCCTCCCCACCATCACAGACATCTACACCTCTAGATGCAGGAAGAGGACTACTGCATCATGAAGGACCCCACTCACCCAGCACACACACTTTTTGCCCCACTCCCCTCAGGAAGGAGGTTGAGGAGCATTAAGTGTAGAACCACTAGACTGAGGAACAGCTTCTACCCTGAAGTTGTTAGACTCATGAATCTCTAAGCAGAATAATCACTGTGAAAAATCACATCATGTTGCTGCTGATCTGTTTCAATGTTGCTGCTGATCTGTTTCATGTTGCTGCTGATCTGTTTCATGTTGCTGTGTTCATTCGAGCTCATCTGCTCACACAGACTCATGTTCGTGCTGCTGTTTGTGTATTGTTTTTGTTCTACTAGTGCTTAGTATATTTTTAGTTAATGTTTGTCTTAGTTCATATCTTAGATGTTATTAATGTTTTTTTTTTACATTTTATTGTTGGATGTAACTGGGACCCTGTGTACATAATTTCGTTCCACCACATGTACCACATGTGATGTGTTTGACAAGTAAAACTCTGACTCTGACTCAGAATGAGTGCTGTTGTCTGTAAATGAACGGATGAACCGCAGCAGAAGGGCTGCAGTTTCACGTTGTCTAAACACTGCCCTGTATGTCATTCAAGTGACAAATTTCATAGTGAGGATGGATGATAGGCGGACGTCTATCTTTTTTAATACCATGTGATCTACCCATAATACCTTTACGATCGACTGGTAGATCGCGGTCAACATATTGGGCACCCCTGCTGTAAGGCTTCAAGTAAAGAATTTATGCAGTACAGTTATAGTTTACTTGCCATGGCTCTAACAACATGTGGTGGTCCGAGCAGACCAGAGGAAAACTTAACGTCAACACTCCACTTTCTTATGTTTGAAGCAACAAATGAGAAATGTTTTGAAACAGATCAGCTGGTTTGTGTGTGTGTGTGTGCACGTGCGTGCGTGTGTGTAGAAAAACCAACAAAAATTGTTTTATTCATTTGTGAAAAAGGCTTGCTGTGAAGATCTACCTATTATGCAGCATAACAGCAGCGCCTCAAAGAAAATCTAACCAAATCAAGCTTGTTTTTGGTCAAATGGAGGACGAAGGCAGCCTGCAGCAGAGATGCTGGTTGATTGCTGTCTTCAATCATCAGGCCTGGAGCCAGTTTGTGGGCAGGAAAATTGCATCTGCAGCAGTTTCATCAGCAACTTCTGTCCTGTCATGTTGCCCTGAAGAAAGACACCAAATTCCTGGTGGACAGTAAAGTGGGCCTATCTGAGCATATTCCCCTTCTTTTTTTCTTTAGAATTCGTCACGCTGGAAAGCGATGAGCGAAGATGCCCTGAAGTCCGTGTGTGCCCCGGGCTCCACCACGTCATTGCCCCCTGTGGCTCCTCTCTGTGCCCCGTCTCTGGATCCTGCTGCAGCCAGCAACCAGCTGGAGCTGGAGATGCGCTACTTGGTTGCAGAACACAGGAAGGTAAAACACGGAAGTGGAGTGGGTGCGGATGCAGCAGGTTTTCAGATAAGGTTTATCTCTCCTGTTGTGTGCTGGGAATAAAACCTGCTGGGAGCACTTTTACAAGTCAAAACTGCAAACCCATCCACCCATTTTAATGTTTTTTAATGGAAACTAAAAATGGGACCAAAAATTTAAATATTGTAAAAATTTAATGGAAACAATTAGAGCTTGACCAATATGGAAATTTTGGCTATCGTCCTTAATGATCTCGGGAGGGGAAGGCTAATGCCGATAACAGGCTGAATTTTCTTTAGCTTTGTCCACTCCCAGTAATCTGATTAAACAGCTACTCTTAAACCTGTTTCAACACTTGAAGTCATGAAACAGTCTTCTTAACACGTGTTCACATTTTATATCCTCCTCTATTCACCATAAAGTTATCAAGTGTGTTACATAAATGTAAATTAAAGAGAGAAACACCCTTCCTGTTCATTGTTTAAACAGTCAGTCATGTGAAGGTCTAATTAGTACTGACAGCAGCAACGTTTAGTTTTCTTTGTAGAGAAGTAAAGATTTCAGACAATGAATTTCATTGAAGACTACAAAGATAATGTTACTAACACTGATCCTTTTTTATCTCAACGTTAGAGTTATTGTTCTGGATATAGTTTTACAAGGTAATAGTCTATGCTAGGTTATCTAAACGTTAGCTTGCTAATTTGAGAGTCGCATATCTAATGATAAGCAGGTTGGAGGATTAAAGAGAATTTATTATTGATTTGTTTTACAGATCAGTTAAAATAAACTTACCATGCTCTGTTAAGCAAAATACACTACACAGTATTTAGTTGCTCCCTGCTTCATCTGTGCTGAAAGTGAAAGTTAAAGTGAACGGCCATGACTTGAAAGTAGTCTTCATACGCCCTCTGCTGGATACATTGTACAATTATGTCTTGTGCAAGTAAGGACACGGCTCGTTCCCAGCATTTTAGGGGTTAAAATTAGAAGTGTTTATATTGGTGCATATTGTGCCAATTATCACAGATACGAAATGTCCCCAAATACTTATACTGACCTAAAATATCGGCCCTGCCGATATATCGGTTGTGCTCTAGAAACAATAAAACAATAAAGTTGCTGACGAATATAAAAGTGTGATTTGTGTATATAAATATTCGTATAAAATTAAAGCTTGCAGTGCATTTAATGGTCCCACCTTCCCCAGGATCTGGATCTGGCAACAGTGTGGGACGACCACCTCTCCTACCTGCTGTCCTCAGCCCTGTCAGCTTATGAAACGGAGCGTTGCACTGGAGTCTCCTGCGGCAACGAGGAGTTCCAGGATGCAGTGAGGAGGGCCGTTCCAGACGGACACACCTTCAAAGGCTTTCCTATACACTTCCTGCACCGCAACGCCCGAAGAGCTTTTGCCACCTGCCTCAGGTGAGAAGAACCTTTACATACAGGAAGAGCAGGTGCACGCGTTTAGAAAAAAAGATGTCAATTAGCCTGGGATGTCAACTTCAATTTTCTTTTGATCAATCAGCAATATAGGGCTGCCAATATCAACAATTTTTTTAGAATTTACCAATTAATTTATTATTTCGTTTGACTAATTTCCCCAAAAATGATAATTCACAAATTTAGTAGTTAACTTTGGCATTTGAAGTTGACCACAAAATTTTGTATAAAAAAGGTTTAGAGTCAACTGCAGGAAAACAAAATAAGACGTAGCTCCGATCTTTATTCAGCATGTTCTAAGCGAACTGCTGCGAACTGGAGAGAATTTTTTTTTTTTTTGCTAGGATTCAGTCAAATGCCATTCAGGCATAGAAAAACTACCGTAATTCTCTGACTTTAGAACGCATCTGTGTCTAAGCTGCACTTATTAAATATAAGATAAATCATAATTTTGTCCATTAAGGACGCTCCAGTTATTAAGCTGTGGGCATCCACTGTTCAGAATCTGTGCCCAGTCTGCTCCGACTGTGTGCAGCTTTCTTGTAATACACGAAACAGCCAGCAGAAGGTGCTCACAGACTATGGCTTGCTTTCAACTTACCCTTATGCCCCATTTGCACTGCTCCTACCGAGCCCCCGACTCCACTCATCCCTTCACGGAAAAATCGCTATTCCACAGTACTTTTTTAGCTGATTCGAGGCTGATTCGGGATCTTGTTTGGTCCCTGCTTCTCTGGTGGGACCGTGCGAACTGAGACCGGACCGAAACGTGAATGCAGGACACTGATTGGTCAGGGGGAGGAGTCACTGGATCTCAGAAACTTTTCACTGATCCACCATTTGCAATTTCCCGGAATGTGGAGCAGCAGCTGGATCTATTTTTAATATTTTCAAAACAATAATGACAACACTGTTTAATGCTGAAGTCCAGGCGTTTTTTGTGTTTGGTGACCAACGACAAAATTCGAGCGAGCGGAGTCACAGCAGAGGATCATACGAGCTGCCGGCCCGTGGAAACACTTGAGGCCAGACCCCGAGCCCCGGCAGACAGGAGGACGGGGACGGAGGGTGGAAACTTTTTGTTAAAAAACATTTTATGTATAATTAAAAAAATATTATCAATGAAGATTAAAAATAAATAAACGGTGCTGGGTTTATCATGAATTCCTGTTTCCACTTTGACTTAATTAAATAATCTGTTAATTAAAGTTAACTCAGCTGAAAAATCAAAAAAGACTAAATAATTGGATCTCTCAGGAATATTTCCCTCAAACATGTTTAAAGAAGAGACACAGCCTTTGGTTCAACTTTATTCTAACCCACAGATGTACAAATCACAAAACAAGCATTACACTTTAAATCACTGATTGATTGTTCCTGTCTCTTCAAATGAGGATTGCCAACATTTTCTTTCTTATTTTATAGACGAAGTCAGTAAGGTGAGAAACAACATTGATCACTGATCATCACTTGAATCAATTCAATTCAGTTTATTTATAAAGCACCAAATCACAACAAAGTTGTCTCAGGGCACTTTACAGGAACATTCACACATAAAAGCCAATTAGTAAAGTTCTCTATCTAAGGAATCCAGCAGACAAGTTGAATCTTGGCTTCGTCACAGTCTCCCATCCTGAGCAAGCACAGTGGAGACAGTGGAAAGAAAAACTCCCTTTTAAAAGGATTTAGCAAAAAGGAAAGTCTTAAGCCTAGTTTTAAAACTGGATAATGTGTCAGCCTCACGGACAGAGATTGGAAGTTGGTTCCACAAGAGAGGAGCCTGATAACTGAAAGATCTGCCTCCCATTCTGTTTTTGTAATTTCTAGGAACCACAAGTAAACCTGCAGTCTGAGAGTGAAGTGCTCTGTTAGTAAAATATGGAACAACAAGATCTGTAATATAAGATGGAGCCAGGTTGTTGAGAGCTTTGTAGGTTAGAAGTAAGATTTTGAATTCTATTCTGGATTTGACAGGGAGCCAATGGAGAGAAGCTAAAACTGGAGAAATATGATCTCTCCCACTAACTCCAGTTAAGACTCTGGCAGCAGCATTTTGGATCAACTGAAGACGTTTTAAAGAAGTATTTGGACATCCAGATAATAAACCATTGCAATAGTCCAGTCTAGATGTGACAAATGCATGAACCAGTTTTTCTGCATCATTTTTAGATGTTTCTAATTTTAGTGATATTACTTAGGGGGAAGATGGCAGTTCTAGTAACATTTTTAATGTGGGGGATAAAAGACATGTCCTGATCAAAAATAACACCAAGATTTTTAACTTTAGAACCCAATATCATATTCAAGCCTCTGTAGTAAAATATTGTGATCAACTGTATCAAATGCAGCACTGAGGTCTAACAGGACCAGTATGACACAAGTCCATTGTCTGAGGCCATGAGAATATCATTAGTGACTTTTACTAGTGCTGTTTCTGTGCTATGATGAGCTCTAAACCCTGACTGAAACTCTTCAAACAGATTATTTATTTGTAGATATTTACGCAACTGACCTGCAACTATTTTCTCTAGAATTTTTTAGATGAAAGTTACATTAGATATAGGTCTATAGTTGGCCAGAATTTCTGAGTCAAGATCAGACTTCTTAAGTAAAGGTTTAATTAGAGCAACCTTAAATCACTAAAATAAAATATGTATACAAGAAACAAAACCACAATGGTGGACAGAACGGTGCCAAACACCTACATAACTGAAATTATTTTAAAATTATTTACTGGATTGGAAGTCAAATGGTAACGGTATAATCCGGTAAATATTCATTAATTTCTTAGCTTAGTGTATTCTTAGTTTAGTAAATGTAGTATATTCTTAGTTCATGACTCGGGTCTTACTAATGTTTTTCTTTACAATTTGTATTTTTGTTGGCTGTAACTGGACCCTGTACATAGTTTTGTTCCACCTCATGTACCACATGTGATGTGATAGACAATACAAATCCTTGTATCCTTGTGTTAAATTAGTACCATTGGTTTTTATTGGTAAACCCTTTTGTTAACAACTGCTGTTTTTAAATGTACTTTCTAAATAAATTTGACGTGATTTCTGCTCAGCAAAGAGTTCATATGGGCAGGACGGGGAAGAGCCCCTCCCTCCCTGACCTCTCCTATGTCCCTGTTTGAGCTTAAATGAGATACTGGTATTTAAACACTGATTTACTGTACACAGAAATAATTTTTTTTACATTTTTATTTAAATATGTCTTGACTGACAGCTTTAAAAATAAATCTGACAACTTCTACGCTGCTGTGCTCTCATGATGGAGGTGGAGGGGGAAAGACTCCTTTCTGTTCCTCTGCTTGGTGTTTGGATGTGCGTTTAAAATGAGATCCCAGTATTTAAATTCATATTTACAGACACAGAAAGAATTAAAAAACTTGTATTAAAACATGCACCAGACGTCTGACTGCTTTTGCGTCTCTAATCCCTGACCATGGACACGCTGATGCGTACGGGCTGCAGCTGTTTCCTCCTCGACAGCCGATCACTTTTAACATGAAAGCTGCGTCATAAGAAATTCTCCGCGTGTTTTCATTATCGCTGAACAAATGAACAGGTCTGTGCACGAAGCGCAAAATACGCTAACAACACGGGAACGATCTGAAGAAATGAATTCACGTCTATCTTGGGGGATGGTCCTCGAGAGCACCTCACTGGTCATTCAGGTTAGACTTCTGGTCACATGATGACAGAGTGGGTGGAGTTATGGTTGGGTATTTGAAACCGTGAGCCAGAGTCGTATATGTGATTACCTGAGGGCGTTCTCTCTGCGTCACTAACACTGGGAGCCACGAGTGCCCAGCCTTGTCAAAGGAAAATGTTGGTGACAGGAAGCTATAAAGTGACAGCAGGAAGTCTCTTCAAATAAAATATAAAAATATACATAAATAAGACGCTCCTGCATATAAACTGCAAGGTACAAGGTGTGAGACAAAAGTAGCGGCTAAAAATGTTCTAGTCCAAAAGAGTAATCAAACTTCCATCCATCCATCCATCCATCCATCCATCCATCCATCCATCCATTATCTTTACCCGTTTATTCCATTTTGGGTCACGGGGGTCGCTGGTGCCCATGTCCAGCAATCACTGTGCGAGGGGCGGGGTACATCCTGGACGGGTCGCAAGTCCATCACAGGGACACATAGAGACAAACGAGACAAACAAACATTCACTCTCTCATTCACACCTAGGGACAATTTAGAGTTACCAATCAACCTAACATGCATGTTTTTGGTCTGTGGGAGGAAACCGGAGTACCCGGAGAAAACCCACGCATGCACGGAGAGAACATGCAAACTCCACCCAGAAAGGCCCCTGGACCGGGGTTTGAACCAGGGACCTGCTCGCTGAGAGGCAGCAGCTCTACCAGTTGCGCCACTGTGCTGCCCGTAATCAAATATGTATTATCTTAAAAATGTGGCAGACAGACTGTTTAACTTTAAAGTACATTTACTACTTTAAAAAACAGTTTTCCTTTATTTATTCCTAAAATGTCCCTTCTCCTGTCAGCTGGCTTGAAGTATGTGAAGTGCTTTAAAGTCGTTGGGCCTTGGCAACATGTCGGCCTCGTTGGCTGCAGGTACTGCAGCAGAAACAGGTGCTGTCTGTTCGTCACAGTTGTTTGAAAAGGCTGAAGCTCAGTTGACTTACAGAGTATAAAATCCTTAAAGGTTCATTCACAAAAATTAACACGTTGACTAAAAATTCTAACGTCAGAGTTTCCTAATGTTGGTGCAGTGGTTAGTTGTCGTCGGTCAGTGAAAAGATCACAGGATCGAATCCCAGTCAGGGGCCTTTCTGGGTGGAGTTTGCATGTTCTCTGTGCATGTGCGAGTTTTGTCCAGGTACTCCGGTTTCCTCCCACAGACCAAAAACATGCATGTTAGACTGATAACACCCTCTCAGATAGCAGCCAGGTGGAGAGCAGAGGTCAGGTGGTTGGAGTTGTGGTCAACATGCGCTGCTGTGCCGTGCACTGGTCTGAACTGGTGCCTGGAAAAAAAAAAAAAACACAGTTCCTTCATTTTCTTTCCTGTCGGCAGTAAAATCCTACTTTGAAAATTAAAATCTACATACTTTTAACGTCTTGATTTTGTTTTATGTTTTCCTCTAACAGGTCTGCATTTTGTGAGGAAGTGGTGTGTTGCCGTGGCGACCACGTGAGGCTTGCTGTGCGTGTTCGGGTGTTTGTATATCCTGAGAACGCATGTGCAGTGTGGCTCATGTTTGCATGTAAATACTGGTCTATACTCTGACCGAAGGACAGAAACAACCAGTGGATGTTGCTCATGGGCCGCAGGAATCGTTCCACGCCTCAGACGCCACAGAGACGTCCCGGCTCAACGACCGCCTGAAGCACAGTGAAGCTGAACGGCAGGAAGTTACGAGGACGTGTTTGTAGCTCTGACGCTCAGCCTTTTAATTTCCTTTAAATCAGTCGAATGTTCATCTGTACATATCTATAAATGCACTATTTATTTTTACAAATAAACAATTTGTCCAATTGATGTTACACGTCTTTATAACCATTATTAAAAGCTTTTTCCACTTGACTCCACCTTTGTACTTTTCTTTGTGTCAGTAAATGTGTGTTCAGGTGCATTAAAGACTGGATATTAATATCACTAGACTAAACACAATTGTTTTTCTCAGTTTTTAAAGCACTTCATTTTCATAATTTGTCGTGCAAAATAAACTTTTTATCAAAGCAAGTAAAATCCTTGTTACAAATTAGAGCTGTCATCTCATGGTCTCAACTTTCACCACATGCTCTGATTTTCAGGTGAGTATAAGAATCCATGCATGCGTTAATTTTTACTGCTGCGTTCACACCCAGTGCCATTTAGTCACCTACCTAGCATCCGACTGTCCTCCATCATGATTGCACAGAAGCTCCGCCCACCTCCACTAAAAAAGGCCAAAGGTCAGATGCATACAGACCTGGAGTGGCTGGTTGGGATCACTGGGAGAATTCCTGGTCTGGTTGAAAATGGATTACCAGGACCAGAGCTAAATGAATATTCTCTTATTTTTAATGTCTGTTAATGAGTCAAACAGGGCAGGACAAAGTCAGGAGTTAAAAAGTAGGAAGCACTGGAAAATTGGGTCAAACGCCTCAAACTGAGTGACTTTGTAAATGTTTTATGATAAACATTAAAAACCGTAAGTTTGACAGCAACGATGTAAATAAGGTAAATAAGCTACAGGCTCAATAAAAGTGGTGGTGGCAGGTGCACTGAACTGCTCTGCCTGCAAACCACGGTTCAAATTTATGACTCAAGTTTATGAATTAATATAGTCTATGATTTGAGGAAGTGCAGTTGTAGATGGCATGTTTCCACTCTGGCTGAACGAGACACTTGCAGCTGCCGTGAGCTGCTGAAGAACCAACGAGCCACACGGCCTGTTCAACACGGGCTGGCAGCATCGACCAGTGACTGAATATTTGGAAAAAAACATGTTTTACATAATAAGGTGTCAACCTGGTCTGTTTGAAAGGTGTCGAGAGGTTACTGAATGATTTGACATGAATACATAAATATGATCATCTACTAGAGGCCTTGGAGCCCGAGGGTTCTGTGCAGTATGGTAGCCACTGGTAGGACTGGTTGATATCAGCCACTTCCTCAGTCTGCCAGTGCTACATGCCGTGCAGGGGATTATTTTTCATGATGTTCTTGTTTCTCTTCAACGATGTGTTTCTGCTGCCTGAGGCATTCACTGAGCAGTTCATGGTGGGGCTTTCTTCCTGATGCACTTTGTTTATTCCTGGTGCTCAGTGCTCCACTCTGGAGGAGTGACGAGCTTCAGCAGAGGAGATAGAAGAGACTGTTGAGGAAACATCTTATTAGAGATGCTCTAGAATATTTAGACGTGCTAGATGAGATCTATTTTGAATTTTATACAACAGTGCCTTTGTCTAAACTGAGCATTTATGCAATAACTTATTTTCTAATACACATTTTAATGTAATTGTTTTGATTATTTGAAGGCCAGTTTATATTAAAGCTGAGTGGTTCGTGGCAGCAATAAAAGCATCCGAGGAAGTTTTTTTATAGGCACTGTAACATCAACAGCATGGCCTGCAAGAAGTCCAGATCTCAGTCCAGTGAAAATCTCTGGTGGAAATGAAAGGAAATGGTCACGACTCCAACCTGCGGAGCTCATCTGGCATCAGTAGAAACAGCTGGAGTCAGACGGTAGCCTCATAAAACGTTTTTTTTTTTTTTTTTGTTTTTTAGCAGAGACAATAATACCTAAAACTTGTACACATCTGAATGAGACACTAATAGTTACAGTTTGGATTAAAACATTTTTAACAGAAGTTTGCACTAAAGGTACACACTTTCCAACATGTTACACTGTTCTGTAAACTTGATGTGGGTAAATAAAAGTGTCTTATCAGCTACGTGTGTATTTGTAGATTTTTTTAACAAATATTAAAAAATTTTTAACCTTTTATAATGAGCATCTTGAAAATAATTTGAGTAAATAATCGTCTGTACAGTATTGTAATGACTGAATAAAGGTGTAATTCTTGGGTCTACCACCAGATGGCAGCGTGACGCAATGAATGAGCGCTGGAGCGGCTCCGTTTACTCAGACACAACTTGTACTTTATGCAGTTCACTGATACTGAGCTGTGTTTTAGTGAACTACTGATACTGAGCTGTGT